GAGTTATATTCATATTTTTGTTTTTTCATGGCTCTTTTATTTTTTTAAAGATTTATTTATTTATGCATACAAGAGCTGGGGTAGAGGCCAGAGATGCGGGGGGTGGGGGGTGGTGAGATGATTCACCAGAGACAGAGTGGGGAACAGAACAGGCAGAGTGACTGAAATACACTGCTGTGGGGAGCAGCGGGTGAGTCAGGAGAGGTCTGCTGCACCATGTGAGTAGCTCCCTGGCTGGCTGGGGATCAAACTCGTGCTGCAGTGACTGCAGACAGCCTCACAGGTTGTGTCTTAACCTCTTGCACCACCAGGGAGGCCTTTCATGGCTCTTTTAGTAGGACTCAGTGCCCCTCTCTTCATTTCTCTCCTCCCCCTCTAACACTGAGAGGTACCTAAAGCCACCCCTGCTACATTAGTACATGAACTAGGACAACAGTCATATAGCTCTGCCAATGGTCACCGTGGGCTCTTCAATCATGGAACTGATTATTTGTCTGCAATAGCAATCAATAACTTTCTCTTTCTTTTACACATTGAAAGAAATTTTTTTAAAAGATTTATTTATTTATTTATACAAGATCCAGGGTACAGGCCAGATGTGTGGGAGGGTGAGAGGATTCACCAGACACAGAGCAGGGAACAGAACAGGCAGACTGATGAAATACACTGCTGAGGGGAGCAGTGGGTGTGACAGGAAAGGTCTGCTGCGCCATGTGGGACGCCCGCCGGCCCGCCGGGATTGAACCAGACCTGCAGAGGCTGCTGACAGCTTCACAGTGTGGAGCTCAACCACCTGTGCCACCAGGGGAGGCCCCACATTGAAAGAAAAATTTTAAATATTTCCAAAAGAGATGTACAGGTGGTTATAAAAAGCCACTCTAAGTAATTTCATTGCTAGACTTCAGTGACTAAGTTTGTTTCGCAAAGGTTGGAGAAGGAGAAATAGCAATAAACAGAAAAGTAGGTAATTTTACCCAGGCATGATGAACCATTCCTGGGAAATCAAATGTCAGAATTTTAATAGAGGGAGCTTTATTTTTATTTTACTTTAATAGAGGGAATTGTAATAGGGTGGATGGTGATCTAGGTCGAAATTTCCAGTGTGGGTTTGCATACAGACAGAATCCTGTACCTTCATAAAATGAAGCTATAGTAGATCTCTCATTCTCATTACCCCTCAGTCTCCTTAGAGAAAGAAATTAGATTAAATGATACTTTCTTCCAAGTTTCATTTCCTTTTGCTGTTTTCTCTTTCCCACTTCTGAACAAAACCCACATCCTAAACTACTGTCTATTTTTTGGGCCAAAATTCCACGGGAAGAACAGAAAGACAAGTGTGCCCTGATGCCTCCCAGGTCCCGCAGAAGACTACAAAGGGGGCCAGCTGAAGGCTGCCCGTGGTCACTCCGCACTGCCTGGGGAGAGGCCCAAAGGCTAGTTCCCAGCTGTCTTTATCTCTATCACACCATATCAAAGTGGGGAAGGAAGTGGTGGGAGAGACTCCAAATGACCTTGCTTTTCAAGTTGGAGGCTGGTTTGTTTGATTTTGCTTTGAATCCAGTCAATGAAGAGAGACACGGAACTACAATCTGGGAGAGTTAGGGCACACTCTGGAGTAGAGAAGCACTTAAAATGAAGTCCTGGAGTGAACCTTTTTTTTTTAAAGATTTATTTATTTATACATACAAGAGCTGGGGTACAGGCCAGAGGGTGGGGGTGAGAGGATTCACCGGAGACAGAGTGGGGAGCAGAACAGGCAGATCCACTGAAATACACTGCTGAGGGGAGCAGGGGCAAGACAGGAGAGGTCTGCTGGGCTGTGGGTCACCTCCCTGGCTGGGGATCGAACTTGTGCTGCAGTGGCTAGGGATCGAACTTGTGCTGCAGTGGCTGGGGATAGATTCATACTGTTGGGACTTAACCCCAGGCTCCACCAGGAAGGCCCCCCTGGAGTGAACTTTAAGCTGGGAGTATGGGAATCTGAATTCTAGTCTTAATAGGACCTCAATTTTCTCATCTTTCAAATAGAGTATTCCATCTAGATGACCCCTAAGAGGGGATTGGTAATGTTATGGATGGATCCTGATTGGCTTGTGGTCCATCAATCCCTTGAATTGTATGCAAAAGTTAAGCACAAGTATGTGTGGTTTCATCTGGAACTCAGAAATCTGAAAAGCCACTAAGTTGACTCCAAACTCTGAAGTTCAGCTAGATTTTTTTTTTTTAATTGAAGTCACTTGATTTGTCTTTTCAGGACACCAAAATCCTAATTTTCTTTTTTTTTTTAAGATTTATTTTATTTATTTATGCATACAAAAACTAGGGTATAGGCCAGAGGTGCAAGGGGGAGGGGTAAGGATTCACCAAAGAAAGAGTGGGGGACAGAACAGGCAGATCTACTAAAATACACTGTTGAGGGCAGCAGTGGGCAAAGCTGGAGAGGCCTGCTGCACCATGTGGGTTAGCTCTCTGGTCAGGGATTGAACTCAAGCTATGGTGGCTGGTGATAGTTTGATAGTGCTGAGACATTAACCACTGCGCTGCCAGGGAGGCCCCCCAAATCAGTCCCCTTTAGTACATTGCTCTTAATTTTCTCAAAGGCATTTCTGAATAAGGAAAATAAGGACAATATATATCCTTTCCAGCACTAATCCTTTAATGCATGTTTTAAAAAGTCATCCAGACATTGATTATAAAGTAATTTAGCCAAGAAAATCATCTGTTATAACTTTTTACAGATTTTGAATAGTATTAGATTTTAAAAAAATATCAGGCTCATCGTTAAAGTGATTGACTAATGGTCTTGGAGCCTCAAGTTTGTGTGTGCAAGCAAACCTAGATTAGAATACTTTTTCTCCCTCAAACCAGCAAAATTATCATAACCTTATTTTTTTCCTTACTAGATTGAAGCTGTCAGTTATAGTTTACACACAGTCTTAAGAAATTCTGAAATGGTCTTTATAGTAAGTTGCTTTGAAATCAGAAACAGGACAAAAATTTCCTTTGGGAAGATGATCCACAAGTAACTTTCCCTCCCAAGACTTGGTGAGTTATAGTTTGTACTGATTTCAATCTGGACAATTGTACCATATAACTCAACTCTGAGCATGCTATTTTTATTTTTCTGTTCTTCAGTTTCTTTTTGCACATGAAAAATAAGGATAGTAAACTTAAAACTAATTATCTTCAAAGATTCCTCCCTCCTTATTGATACTATGACTATTGCTGGGATCCTAAATGCCCTATACTCAATAGAACTACTCTGGAACTTATTGAAAACATGGCGGTATTTCCACATTAACTACTTTGGTGTTCTTTTGATAATTAAGAATGAATTTTTCTTTCTTGTTCCCAGTTCACCTGAATGCTCCTAAAACCTGAAGGTATTAGTAAATAAGAGAGCTTTATTTTTAATAGTTTTTCTCTCTTTGTGAGTGATGGAAGTTTCACAATGTGTATTTAATTTTCCTATAATTTTAAAAAGGCAAATTTCACTGGGGCCATGAAAGAATTCTCAGATTTATCCAGATTGTGTAGAAACCACCATCACAGCTGGCTGAAAAGCAAAAACTTGGTTAAATGGACTTGGCCTGGTTCCCAGGGTTTCCCAGGCATTAAGCAATATCTGAGAGTTAAGTCCATCACCTTCAGAAGCTGCAAGGACTCTTTGATTCACTGCAGTCTCCTTTAGTACATTGCTCTGTAATAATAATTATGTGAGTAATATGAGAAAGTTCATTCTCCTTCCAAAGGCATGACATTTATAACTTAGGACATAGCATCTCTGGGATTTTGTCAATTAAAGTCCATTGGTTGGTTATCTGGCCATTGGGTACATAATTCTTAAAAAAAAAAAAAAGAACTAAAAAAAATTATTTTAGTTTTATGTGTGCTATACAGATATGATCAATTTTGATCTGCTATCTGGACACCAAGGGGTTAGATAATCCACATTTAAGGGTAATGTTCTTTTCTAAGGTAAGCCAAACACCACTCATAAAGATAACCACCACCATTACCTTAGCCATAGCGATTCTGCATTCCATGGGAAAGCTACTCATGCATGCCTGCCACATGGCATGGGAAAACACATGAAGGGTCCACAGAGAGGTGAGAGATTCTCTCTGTCCCCACTTAAAGTCAAAGAAGCACTTTGTAATTTAGAATCAGAGAATTCTACAATAGGCAGTGTCTTCCGAGAGAAGGCACTATCTTCCAAGGTCACGTTACCCAAATCTCTCACTGCCTAATTTTATCAGTGTTTGGAAAGGGAAACAAAGGGAAATACGAGATTTTTCCAAAGTCATGTAGCTGAGCTTATCATAAATTCCAGACTTTTCTGAATTCTGGGCCTGTGTTCTTGTATCACCTTAGGGGTGGAAGAGAAAGAAATGACTGCAGAGAAAGAAATGATTTAAAACTGCATCGTTGTGTAGGATCTTTGATAAATGGTCTTTTCTTACTTGATTTATTTGAATGTATGCCTAAATTAATTTTTACAAAATTCACAAAAAATCAAAGTCAAAAGCAGCTGACTATTAATGTGCCAGTTCTCTTATCACTGATCAAAGCCAGGATGGGTCATCGCTAAGTTGCTTAAACTCTATTTTAAAATAGTTATTTTGCTAATGCTCAAGCAGATGGATAATAGTTGGAATATCCACTTTTGTAGTTCAAACATGCTTATTTTTAACACAAATGTTAAATAATTAGGTTGCTATGGACGATTTGTTGAATACTCATGGACTATCATGGTTGGCTTGTCCTGTGCTTTCACAACCAGTCTATGGAAGCTGTCTCCGTGCTCACCGTAGCTAGTTCCTACTCAGTGCCAAAATGCAGATTGTAGTAAGGATCTCTAATGCCATAGTAACTTTAGAGAGAAGCAGCCTGCCTTGTAGCTATGCAAAAGGGTCAACTTGGATACCAAATTACATAAAGGTACTGTGTGGGGGCACAGAATAGAAACTGAAAAACCAAGGTCACACCTTGGGAAAACGAACAGTATATAATCTAATATCTTTAATTTTATGTACACGAATATAATGTATGGCAACTTTGTACATGAGATACATACAGTATTTAAACATTTTACTCAACAGATAAGAATTTACAATAGCAATATAACTGACTAGAGGGCTGTCCACTTCATATACTTAAGATTAGATCTGTTTTTTTAACAGGAAAAGAATTTAATAGTTTACAATCATAGAAACACGGACATTTAAGACAAGACTTTATAAAATAATTTATATATATCCTAGCATCTATAGAGAGGATTTGTGGATGTGTGCAATGAATGGCATATTTTTAAATTGTTAGGTAATAAAATAATTTAGAAGCAGTTCATGCAGTGGTCAAAGCAAGGGATGGCAGTTCCTTCAAGATGTCCTCAGACCCATGCTGGGCATCACCGGGGCACACAAGGACAGGTCTCCTCCAACAATGACGTATACACAAGCTGATATCCTTCCTTCCACCGTACAAGTCCAGCTCACAACTTCGCGCAGCTGTGGGAGTAGTCAGTTTACAGGTAAAGTGATTTAAGGTCTGTCCGGAGTTCTAGGTAATACATTTCTAGACAAGGTAACTAACAGAACTTGCGGGTTTTCACGACTTTACTCTGATACTTCACGGAGTGGCCCCCGTGTCCTATGACATAAACATCCAGCAGGTATGATTTCCCAGGCTGGAGACCTTTGATGGTTTCTGTGGTCACTGCCTTTTGCAGGTTTTGACTGTGGAAATATTTACAGAGCACCTTCTCCGATTTCTTCCTGGTATCGGGCCCGAGGCACTGGTTTTGTTCTCTCCTCTTCTGATCTTCGTTGTAGTTCTCGTCCACTTCCTTTTTGTAGATGCAGAACTTGTTCCTTTCCTGTGTGCCCAGCCAAGCCACAGTGGCCGACGAGCAGGTCCGGAGCTTGTCGAAGGCCTTGATTCTGGTGTCCTCAGGCAGCGAGGGGAATGACTGCTTGGTGGGCCTCGTGGTGGCCAGGATTTTCAACATGGAAGCTCCCTTTTTGTTCCCCTTTAGCCGGATGAGATATTTTGCTTTGGGCTTTCCTCTGAGCTGAAACTGCCGAATGCCCTCCACGTTCTGAGCCAGGAGGAGCTGCCCGTCTCTTCTCACTTGGATCTGGACAGCGTCCAGACAAGAGTGAACGAAGAAGGTGACTTTCTGATGAGAAGAGACCGGAGCAAACCGGAGAAATTTCGCTCCCTTCCTTTTAACAAACACATCTGTCACCTTCCCGTCTTTAAGCTCCAGCGTCTTCTGCTTCGCCTCCTCCTTGGTCCTGGCAAAGGTGCCCACGTAAGCGGTGCTTGTGTTGCTGTTGCTGTTGACCACGAAGACGTCAAAGTAGTACTGCGTGTCGGGTTTCAGATCCGACACGGTGAAGATGTTCTTGTTTCCAATGCAGATTTTCTGAATGTCCACCTTGGGCCGTGTGTACACGTGCCGCCCCAGCTTGGGAGCTGGCTTGGCAAGGAAGCTGCGGTCCTTCCCTGAATTGTCCACAGGAAATCCAAAGTGGGCGAAGTCGAAGGGGCTGAAGTCCAGACCGGGTTTGGGTGCCAGCATGAAAGCGTCATCTGCGCTCAGTTTCGCTTCCACGGCACAGAGGCTTTTGAAATTGTGCTCCTTGTTGATGACCACACAGTACTGGATGGGCTGTCGCAGCAGAGACGCCGTGGGGCTCGGCTTCCAGGCCAGAGTGATGGTCGTGCGTCCCAGGGAGGTGACATCTACTCTTGGGTCATAAGGCAGCTCAGGGTAGGGCTGATCTGACTCCGGGGTGGTGGTGGCATAGACTTTGAAGTGAGTGTCTTTCTCTGTTGAGAGCAGCTCCAGCTGATACAAACCAGACGGCGAGCTGGAAGACAGGAAATACTCCACGTCATTGCCTTTGTAGGAGAACAGCTCTGTGCCCTCCTCATTTATGATCTGCTGCTTCTGCTGCTCCAGAGGCTCTGGGTCTCCTGGAAGACACAAGAGAAACAGGCCACGCATCAGCACGTGCTGTTACTTGTCAAGTTGTGCCTTTCAGAGGAGCTCATTTTTTCTCCATTATAAAAACAATACACATTCCTGTTGAAGATGAGGAAACAGATAAGAACCAGATAAGAGATCATTCAGCCATCCATTCATGATCCAGAGATGGTCCTTTTTTTTTTTTCTTTTAAAGATTTTTATTTATTTATGCGTACAAGAGCTGGGGTGCAGGCCAGAGATACGGGGGGTAAGAGGATTTACCAGAGACAGAGTGGGGAGCAGAACAGGCAGATCTACTGAAATACACTGCTGAGGGGAGAGCAGTAGGCAAGACAGGAGAGGTTTGCTGTGCCCTGTGGGTAGCTCCCTGGCCAGGGATTGAACTCGTGCTGCAGTGGCTGTGGATAGCTTCGGAGTGCTGTGTCTTAACCTCTTGTGCCACCAGGGAGGCCCCAGAGATGGTCCTTTATTAATAATTTGGTTTATTTCCATCCAGTCTTTACTTTACTTTTGCATATTTTGATGCCATTGATAAACTCTTTCAGTTTTTTCTAATTTAACATCTATTCTCATGCATCGGTTCCTAGCAAACCTCCCCTTTTGAATCCTGCCTTTTTCATTTAATGATATATCATCAAATAGTAGCATAGGATAGCTTTTGACCATCATAAAAAAGGCTCATATGTGTGTAAGATTTTCTGAGTTTAAATGATTTCTTCATGATAGACTCCAGTTAGGGGGAAATTTAGGTCAAAAACAATAAAAAAACCTTTTAGAGATGAATCCCTATTGTCCATATGCTTAAGGAAAGGATGCTATAATTTTGCATTAGATCAGCCAGGTATTTTACTAACTTCACTTTGGTTAGTAGGACTGGACAATCTCATTATAATACAGATCATGAAGCAGCAGTAAGAGCAGCTCATTTTCAATGTATAAAAGATGTGCTTAGGCATAATATGGGAAAAGTAATGACGCCAAATAATTTTTTCCATCTTTTATTACTGTAATGTCAGCTATTAAACAGACACCAGTGTATAGAGGTTTCCAAGAATGGGAGGAAGACTGGGTGGTCAGAGTTGGAATGAACCTATTCCAGGTATCACTGCAGGTCCACAATGAGGGATGCAGTTTCCTAACTCCAATCTATGAGATTATCACACTCATCACTTGGCTATTCATTGCTTCTCTCAGTCTCATGGCTGCCTACATGCACGTCCAGGGTTTTCCTGGTTGCAGTTCCCTCCTCGCTGTAAGCTCTGCAGCCCGCAAGCCCCCCTGCGGGACACCAGGTGTAAGCTTCCCCTTGAAGCACTGATGCCTCCAGTCCTAAAAGGGCACAGAAGCCCTTCAGGGCCTCCAGTGGACTCTCCTCATTTCCTTGTATCTTGTAATTTGCATCTTCTTTTTTCAGTTAATATATTTTTTTTGAAGTGCATCATTCTGTCAACATCTTGTGCAGTGCATTAAGTCCACCACTAAAAGTCTAATTCTAGCCCTCATAATACAGTTAATACCTTTTACCTGATTTATTCACCCACCACTTTCCCCTTCCTTTCTGGTAACTACTAATCTGGCCTTAGAGTCTAACATTTTTTTTTTATTTAGTTCATGATTGTTTCTTTATACATCACATATGAGTGAGATCATACAGTGTTTGTCGTTCTCCATCTGACTTAATTCAGTGAGCATAATACCCTCTTGGTCCATTCATGTTGTGGTAAGTAACAGGATTTCATCTTTTTTATAGCTGAGTACTATTCCACTGTGTATATGCACTTAGGTTGTTTCCAGTTCTTGGCTATTGTGAATAATGCTGCCATGAACAAGGGGACATGTATGTCTCTTCATCTACATTCTAACCCATTTTGCCTCCTGATTTTCTTCTCATCTTAGACTTTGCGTGATATGAAATGTCCTTTGTGGACCCCTCTTTGTTTCCACAATTTATTACGCAGGGGTGAGAGATTCAACATTGGGTGCATCATATAATCAAATAGGTCAGTCCCATATTCTAGACCACACCCTCAGCCAATTCAATCAGGACCTCTCAGGGAAGGATCGAAACATCAGTAGTATTTAAAGCTCCCCAAAGTAATTCCAGGGTTCAGGCAACATGGCAAACCAGAGCCAGAGGCTAGTCCAAACCTTTCCCCTTCTCCTTGCTTCTCACTCTCCACAGTTTACCACAACTACCACCATCTGATGCCATCCTCACTCCCTCATCTCCATCCCTACCTCCAGCCTTACATATGCACCTGTGCTGTTTTTGTTAGAAAGATGCATTTAAAAATAATTTTTACTCCAGTAAAATTGTTAATAAAACAGTCATATATTCAGGGGCCTCCCTGGTGGCCTAGGGGTTAAGTCTCAGCACTATCACTGCTACATCCTGAGTTCAAGCCCTAGCATGGAGCTGACTGACACGGCACAACAGATCTCTCCTGTCTGGCCCACTGCTCCCCTCAGCAGTGTATTTCAGTAGATCCACCTGTTCTGTTCCCCACTCTGTCTCTGGTGAATCCTCTCACCTCCTGCATCTCTGACTTACACCCGGGTCTTCCATGCAGAAAAAAAAAGGTCATACATTTATACTCCTCATTGTATTCACTAATTATGCTTCTTGCTACAAGTAGCTGTATGTTTCTCAAGCCTTGAATGCACTGGGTTCACAGGGCTGGGGCAGATATGCCAGAGCTTACCAGAGCCTTCCCCGCTTGCCTCCTCTGGCAGCTCCTGGAGGGTCAGCTTCCACTCCAAAGGTGCATCGCAGGGAGTCACTGTGACTGACAGTGGAGTATTGTCTTCTTCAACAACAAAGAAATACCTGTAGGAAAGTGGACCAATTCAGAGGGAGATCACACATTTGAACACTTAGAATCAAGACTTACAGGGAGAATCACTTGGTTACATTTATTCATTTCAGAGAATAAAACTGTATTTAACACAAATCATGATGCGGTCATCATTAACTGTGCAAGTTCACTAGCTGGAGGTTCTCAATTCACATGTGCCAGCAACACAGTATAAAATAATAAAGAGATATTGAACCACAACTATTTTGACTTAAGAATCAATACCCTTTGTGGGGTATTATTTAACATAAGCCCTGCCATTGTGAAGTAAGTTGTAAGCAGGAAGAATTTCCAGGTTCCCTACAGGAACTGCATTTTTTCCATATATTTGGTCATAAACCTGTTAAGTTACCCTGAGGGCATGCTGACACAATGGCCGACTATTTCTGAAGACACAATTCTAAAATGCATATTGGTTCCTGGCAAAATAACATCGTATTCACATCTTTCCACAAGTGACTTTTATTCATCGTTCTGCTTTTCTTATTTGTGGATAGAGGTGTCTGATCATCATTTAGGAAATATATTCATTTAAAAATATTTATATCTTTTATTTCCCTCCACCAAACCACCTCTGCCCACACCCCATCTTCCTTCCCACCCCCTCCTATTCCTTTTGGTAATCATTATTATCTTCTTTTTGTAAAGTTCACATTTTTATTCCTTCTGCTGTTTGCATGTAATTTTGGGGGCTGTGTATATGTTCTGCAGTTGAGTGAAACCATCCGAAGTCTGTCTTTCACTTTTTGGCTGATTCACTCAACATAATCACCTCGAGGTCCATCTACTTTGTAGGAAGTAATTTTAAAAAGTGAACTTCCCTGTGTCTGTCAGTGGCCAGACACATTTCTCTATCATTTTTCTGTCACTATGATTTTCTGTCGAGTAGGGTTGTGTCCCTGGAGAATTGATGGGTGGTGAGTGAGTCTTTTACACCCCTGGATTTGGACTTCCCAAATTTTATTGTTACATCAACTAGTGGCAAATCAATCAAACTTGAAAAAAAAAGTTTATGTTTTAAAAAGATTTTCTGTTGAATTAAATAATCCAGTGATTTTAAAACAAATTTAAAAAAATCAAAACATTCTGTTCCATGCTTCCCCCTTGGATTTTTTTTAGAGATTTATTTATTTATGCATCCAAGAGCTAGGGTATAGGCCAGAGGTACAGGGGGTGAGAGGATCCACCAGAGACAGAGTGAGGAACAGAACAGGCAGATTGACCGAAGTACACTGCTGAGGGGAGAAGCAGGCGGGCAGGAAGCAGGAGAGGTCTGCGCGCCATGTGGGACCCTCGCCGGTGGCCAGGGATCGAATCGGCGCTACAGACGCTGCAGGCAGCTTCGCAGCCCAGCGCTCAACCACTGCACCACCAGGGGAGGCCCTCAGTGAGCTTTTTTAAGAGTAGAATTTTGGGGCCTCCCTGGTGGTGCAGGCGGATGAGTGCAGCACTGTGAAGCTGTCCACAGCCTCTGCAGTGGGGGTTTGATCCTGGCCAGCTGGGGAGATACCCACAAGGTGCAGCAGACCTCTCCTGTCTCACCTGCTGCTCCCCTCAGCAGTGTATTGCGTCAGTCTGCCTGTTCTGCTCCCCACTCTGTCTCTGGTGAATCCTCTCACCCTCCCGCATATCTGGCCTCCTGGTTCTTGTATAAAAAATATCTTAAGAAAAAAAAAAAAAGAGTAAAATTTTGTTCTTGTTGGCTAGGTTGCATGGGAGATGCCACATAAACACAATTGAACCTATCTATATTACAAATAGGCACCCTAAAATACTTTTTTTTGTATGGAGTAAGTTAAAACCTACTCAAAAATTCTCATCTTCATTTGTTTTTATTTGATGTGGGTAGCAGAGCCAACGGATGCTTAAGCAGATACCAGTGTGCAGGCTCATCTGTTACCTTCTGTTCTCATTTCAAACAAGTAGTGTATTCGCCAGAGTTAAGTAACTGTGTGTCAGTAACTTAAATACAGGTCACAGGCAAACAATAACAAATAAAGCAATGTTTGCATTCCACTAGGTAATCATTATACATATAAAACAGCAGGGAGTTCCTCTAAGTCAACATCTTCATATGGAAGCACTTATGATGAGGGAGAAAAGATCATCTGAATAAACCTTAACAATCTGACAAATATTTGTTGTCTTCCATGCACGAAGCTCTTGCGGAAGTGAGTGGCCACCGGAAGCAACAGGGATGTCTCCAGACACTTACTCACTGGGGAGGGAGACAGATGTCGCGAATATGCCCCCAATTACAATGCCAAGGCTGAGAGAACAATATTTCATGAACTTAGCCTTTGGAGTTTAAGGATGAACATAAGAATAATTAACAAACTTGCTGGTTGTTTCTGTTTGTTGGGACTAAATGTTGTAACAAATGTTACAACAACAATGGGATCTCATCTTCAGTCCTAATACAGACAGTGCCAATGGGTGCCTCCATGGACTGTTTCACCCCTAGAAATGATATTTCTGTTGTGGCTGCAACTCTTAATGACTATAAATTAACATCTAATTCAGTCACTTTTTTTTTTTGTGAGAGAAGTCAAAAAGAATAAACAAAGGAAAAAAATAAAAACAAGGGAGAGAAGGAGCAAGTCCTGACTGCTTTGAAATGCCCTTTAGCAAAAACATGTCTTTTTAAAGACAAAAAAAAAATATGTAATTTTAAGTCACTTCTTAGAACCAAAACTTACTTCATTTTTAAGAGATTGGAAGAGCAAGGATAAATTATGTGACTGATAGAAGCATGTAAGGAGGGATACTGTATTTAAAAAATACTGCAAAGCAAATGCACAAATATATTTGGGAATTAAAGTAATTTTTAAAACTTTTGACGCACTCAAAAATTTCAAAACACCAAGTAATATGAAAAGCAAAATGTGCTCTGTAGGAATTCTGCTGATATGTAAGACTCATCTGAATTCTTGGGACTGACTGCTGTGTTCTTTCCTGTTTTCACAGACTGAGCCTGAGTAAGTGGCAGCAGGCCTTTAAGTTCCTTTATTCACTGTCATCATCTCTGCAATGTGACTTCACTCTTACAAATGTCCTGAGAGTGTCATAGCTATTTTACATGCCACTAACAAGTCAGTTCCTAATCTCATACATTTATTCAAACAAATAATTTAATGTACACAGTGCTGAACTGATACCTAAATTATAGGCTATTTCAATCAAACCAGGTAAACTGATCACCTACTAATCACAGAGGAACCTGATGGTAATGGGACTGGGCCATGAACTGGAGGAGGTTTAGAGCCCCACCTTCCATTATTACTGATATCAGAAGAACAGTGAGGAACAAATTCCAGACCACTGACTGATGTCTCGCCCGCTGCTCCCCTCAGCAGTGTATTTCATCAGTCTGCCTGTTCTGTTCCCCACTCTGTCTCTGGTGGATCCTCTCATCCCCCGCATCTCTGGCCTGTACCCCAACTCTTGTATGCATAAATAAATCTTAAAAAAAATTTAAAAACACATTAGAAAGGTTAAAATGGGATTTTTTTCCCTTAACAGGTTGGGGTGCCTGAGTACCCCTCAGTTTCACCAGGTTTCAATTGTTGTAATTGTTGACATGAACGGAGGTGACAAAAAAAGATACTCTAATGATGTGATACATCTTCTTTGGAAAATGGTTTATTGGTGATACATGACTTTTGTCCTTTTGGATGCCAAAGGCTAAAAGGATTTTTTTTTAAATATAATTATCTAAATCTCAACAATATGTTGTACACTTACAAAGGTAGTTAGTGTGAGGTTTGAGCACTGCAAAGGAAGTAACTTCATCTATATTTGTAATTTTTAAAGGTTAAAATAACTAGAAGTATTACGTGAACCCAGTAGTGTACCTGCTTGAGGAACCATAAATGAATAGCATCCGTTTTTATCATTTGGTGTGATTCTCTCACACCAAATGATATATTGGTCAAATAAATATTATCCTTATAAGACTTAATGCAGACCCTTGAAGACTCATATGCAGTCAATTAATTGCATTTTAATCCTATAGAATCCTCCTTAGAAACCCCTACTGTCCTAAAGCTATGAAAAAAATCACTCTAAAATGTAGAGGGCGGTTAAGGATCACGGCCTCTACCCAAAAGATCACAGTCAGAAAGAATCAAGGAGCCTCTATTTAAAGATGAAAGTTGCATGCCATTTCTTTTTCTTACTCAGAGGAAAAAAAAGACAATGTGATTCTGAGGTTGGTTGCAAGTCTCCCAAACTAAGTTCGAAAGGTGGCTTTCTTTTTAGAGGCAGACATTCTGATAAAAGGAGATCTGCAGAGAGAATACCTCTTAGGTGTGTCTCTAAAGAGATAACTGCTAATTTCAGCTCCATCTGGAATCACTGAGGAATCATGGAAAAATGCCTTGTCCCGGATCTGCATCTGAAAAAGCTCCTCGTCTCGAGTGGGTAACTTCTGGGTCCTTGAGCTGAGTGGTAAGAGCAGCCACAGCAGACACCAGTGGAGCGGCACCATCCTGCAGGGACAGAAATGATCGCTGAGGTTAGTTCTGTGAGCAGACACACTTGGACAAGGGGCAGACTTTCTAAAGATACAGAAACTTAACAGGCAAAACCTTAAAGGTGTATTATGTGTTTTAGATATATGCATGTATTCTTTTTTTACTGTATTGTTTCTTTATTGAGGTAAACTGGTTTACAAGACTGTGTGTGATTCAGAGGTATCAGTTCACAGGATGCTACCACATCACGCCACCAAAGCACCCATAATTCTCCACCATAGTCCACTGGGCCCCCTCCCTGCTCTGCTCTGCACCCCAGTCTTCTCTGGTAGTCTCAATTCTACAGGCAGATTTCTAGGGTTTGTTTCGGTTTAATTTTGTCAGTTCCTTTGTTTTGTTTCTCTCTATTCCACATATGAGTGAAATTATCAGGTATTTGTCTTTCTCTTTCTGGCTTTTCTAGCACTTAGCATCAGCCTCTTCTGTCCCATCCATGTCGTCACAAATGGCAAGAGTTCATTCTTTCGTGCACATACTCCTGAAGACAACTTTCCTTCTAAGTTTTTTTTCCTCAAACTATTTCATGAGGATAAGAATGAAATCACTAGAATTTCAGATAGATTTTGAAACAAAAGGACCCTTGGTGCATTAATTCCTGGGTATTCAGAGAGAAAATCTCCACATTATGGCCGATGCCTATCGGGTCCTTATAGGTATTTGTGTACAAATGTCGCAGAGCTTGAAACATAACAGAAGTCACAGAAACCCACAGATAGCCAGAAAATTTACCACTGCACAATTTTTTTTCATTCATTCTTAAAATTAACTAGTGATGACAGTAATGTAGTGTTATTCCCCATATCAGATTTTCATAAATCGGAGGTTTTTAGAGACTATCGAGTTTGACTCTATCATGGTTTAAGCCATTTTCTCCACATCACAAGTGTTATCTGCCCATGTCTAATTGTTCAATATGACCAGACTCTTCAATACAACATCTATATATAAACCTTGACAATAACAGAAAGTGAATGTGGCCCCCCATTCTCAGATCAAGTAAGATGACATGTATATTTAAGTTATTTGCCTTAACCTCCAACAAAGTATTTTCACTGAGAGAGTTGAGCACGTTTAGCTGACTTTCATCAAGGAGCCTTTAAGTAATTATGGGTCATTCTCTACAGCTGGAGGGATGATCTGCCACCTTGGTGCCCCCACAGGAAGGTGGAGTAGGCAACCTCTTCTCAGGTCAAGGGCAAGGGAAGGCTTGCTTCCTCTGAGAATTTAGTACATTTTTTTTTTTAGAAAGATTTATTCAAAGAGTTGTTTTCCCTTATTTTTTTTTGACAACAGACACGAGGGAAATCCAACCATGTTTTTCTATTTCAGTACTTTAAACACTGAGAAAATCAAATGCAAATATTTACGATGACTCAAAATAAGAGGAAGCCAGTTTTCTTTCTAAATAGATAAGACTGTGAGGTCACCTCAACTTGAAACATCGTTTGACTTTAATTTAGCATGCTTTCAAAAATAGATTTACGCAACTATTCTATTCTATTGTAAATCTATTTTTAGCCAACTAAATCTATTTTTGAAGGGAATTTCCCACCTTAGGAGAATACGAGAGAGCTTGCTCAAAAAGCCCGTTTAACTTTTTCAAGCAGTTTTCTTTTTTGCATTGTTCTGCAGTTTTCTGCAGTGACTCAGGGTTACTATGTGCAAAATGGGGTGATAAATTTACTAACTGCATTACTGAATTTATTCTTCACAATAATCATGTGAAGTAGGAATTGACCACAGAGCTCAAATATTTAGGGTCTAAAATACGTCTCAAGGCCTCCCCTGGTGGTGCAGCGGTTGAGCGCTGGGCTGCAAAGCTGCCCGCAGCCTCTGCAGCACCGGTTCGATCCCCGGCCGCCGGCGAGAGTCCCACATGTTGCGCCCGCTGCTCCCTTCAGCAGTGTATTTCATCAGTCTGCCTATTCTGTTCCCAGCTCTGACTCTGGTGAATTCTCTCACCCTCCTGCACTTCAGACTGTACCCAGTGCTTGTATAAATAAATAAATCTTTAAAAAAAAAAACTAACAAAAAAATTGTCTCAGGAGAGTCACAACAGAGCCTCCCTGTTGGCACAATGTGTTAAGACACAACCTGTGAAGCTATCTGCAGCCACAGCAGCATGAGTTCGATTCCCAGCCAGCCAGGGAGCTACCCACATGGCACAGCAGACCTCTACTGTCTCTCCTGCTGCTCCCCTCAGCAGTGTATTTCAGTCAATCCACCTGTTCTGTTCCCCACTCTGTCTCTGGTGAATCCTCTCACACCCCCACACTTCTGGCTTGTAGCCAGGTTCTTGTATGCATAAATAATCTTAAAAAAAAAAAAAAGCTATAACAACTGCTAAGTTCACTGCAGTACTTTTTCAATGGCTAAGATATGGAAACAACCTAAGTAGCTAACAATAGATGACTGGATATAAAAGATGTGGTTTGTAATCTCAATGGGATACTACTCTCGGGGATCACTGCAACTCAAGAAAGGAGGGTGGTTTTCTTTTCTTTTGATTTTTGTTTATTCATGCATACAAGAACCAGGGTACAGGCCAGATGCGTGGGTGGGTGAGAGGATTCACCAGAGACAGAGCAGGGAGCAGAACAGGCAGACCGACTGAAATACACTGCTGAGGGAAGCAGCGGGTGAGACAGGAGAGGTCTGTCGTGCCATGTGGGTATCTCCCTGGCTGGCCCAGATCAAACCAGCACTGCAGAGGCTGTCTGCAGCCTCTGCAGTGCTGCGCTAAACTGCCTGCACCACCAGGGGAGGCCCAAGGAGGGTGGTTTTCTCTGAAATGTTCCAGGACTTGGATTACTCAGGCTGCTTCCCCTCTTGTCTCCTTCACCTTCTTTGTCTGGCTCCCTCATCCCAGAGAGGAAAAGTGGAGGATAGGTATCATTTAAAATGGTTTTGCAGAAATAGCCAGTGAAAAGATATAAAGCATTTTTTTTTCACTTTTCCATATTGAGCAGATGATGAGTATTTGAAAAGTCCAATAATTTTCAGCAATTTCAACATTTTATCCTATGGAGCCTTTAGTGTAGCTAATGTAAAGTGGTCCAGCTGGCCTTGTTTGCCCACAAACCTGTGGAAATACTTGAGAATTATAAAACAGTCAAATAGCAAGTGAAGAAAATATTAAAGAGATCTTGGCTAACTTCCCAATACATCAACAAAACATCCAGGCTGACCTCCACTACCACAAAACACAATATCCTGAGAGTAAATTCTGCTTGTACATGTGCAGCAGCTCTGCTACTGTCATTGTGCAAAATTAATCTTCAATTACATTTAATTGGCCACTCAATTTACCAATCTTGTTTAAGCTACTGATTCCCTTAGTAAAAATAAAAAATTTCTATTTGAAGTTGTGTTAACAATGGCCACAAGTAAATAAATCTAGTGACTAACACAGCATATAAAAAATAGATATTGAATGAATTCAGTCATGAATCCTAACTGAGAACCTTATCTTAAGAGTAGAAAAATATTTTTTTAATCACTAACAAATGTGCTTTAGTTATCCTGCTTCACTAATGTAAGAAATTTGCAAACCTGGTGAATAAAATATTCCTTTAGGTTTTCATGTAACTGTCTGAAGCTCTCTGAATAGAAGGTATCATAGAAATTAAAATTTTTGCGACCTTCTCAGTAGCCAACAGGTCTATCTACAAGTGAGAAATATAATCAAAGCAAATTCCTCCATGCCACAACCACCAGCCATCAGGGAAGGTCCTACGGGTACCTTGCAGAAACATGAACATATGCGTAAACAATATTGGCCTCTTATATGTAGTACAAAGTATAAAACCTAAAAAGATCAGATTCATCAGCATAAATATGCCACACAAATTATACAATTAAAACAACAACAACCCGGGTCTCCCCAGTGGCGTAGGGGTTGAGCGCTGGGTTGCGAAGCTGCCCACAACCTCTGCAGTGCTGGTTCGATCCCCGGCTGCTCTCTGGCCACCGAAGGAGGGTCCCACATGGTGCGCAGACCTCTCCTGCCGCCCGCTGCTCCCCTCAGCAGTGTACTTCGATCCTTCTGCCTGCTCTGCTCCCCGCTCTGGCTCTGGTGAATTCTCTCACCCTCCCGCACTTCTGACTGTACCCAGTGCTTGTATGTATGTATCAATCAATCAATCAATCAATCAATCTTTAAAAAAAAAAACAACCCACAGTGTCATTATAATACACTTAAAAATATCATAGCACACAATCACATGTAGGCTACAAAGAGTAAGTACATTTACAGTGACTGAAAAGAAGGAATGGCATCCTGACTTCACTTAAGGCAAATGCATCTGGAATAAATGAAATCTAATGTTTAATTACAGAGAGTAGAAAGTACATGAGTATAATTTAGTGAGGATAATTTCAAGAAATGGCCTGCCACAGAGATTTCTGTTATTTTCTTTTCCTTTTTTAAGTGCAAATATTTAGTCTTTTAACTTCTATTTTTAAACTCGAGGGCATTTGTTTTTGTTTGAATCATCCGTGCCACATCTGATAATAAATCTGAAGCATTTGATCTAGCTGTAAAGAAAAAACACAGAGCCCTGATCGGGAGAAAGGCCCCTTGTCTCTGTGGGCAGAGGGGGTCTGTCTGGGTAGTTCCATAGCAGAATGACCAGCTTAGATAAAATGCCTCAAGACAGAGTTAGCTATAAAAAAAGCTCAAATCCAGAAGCTGTTTTGTTGTGTTTTGCAATGAAAATGTTAACTGAAATTAGTTGGATATTCTATACCCAGAAACATCCTCAGCTATGATTCAACATTGGCAGGACATAGACCATCTTGTGATCTGGTATGTTTCCATATTAGAAAAGTGTGAAATCAAGCAGTTGGAGATGCAGACTCCCAGCCACCCGGTAGCAGGGTCCACAGGCACAATTCCATGGCCTAGCGGAACAGAGGCAGCTCTGGGCACAAAACCCATCAACCCACTGCCAAAGTGCTCTACCTGCAGGCTGTCACTGCAGGATGGAATGATGGTCAGGG